AGATTAACCTGGTGCAAACATATGGAAGGAGTGTGTTCCAGACTGCATTTGTCTTTTGCCGAAGCTCAGATTCTGGCGCAAGATCGGGAACATTGGAAGCACCTTTGATGCGTCTGCCTCTGCGATCTAAAAGGAGAACCGGTCATTGATGATGAATCACTGATTATATTTCTGACTCTTTGGTGTAGGTCAGCAAAAAGCAGTACATATATTCTTGAAAACAAATGTGCAAAAGCCACAGCTTATTCATACACAATGTAAGGAAATTGGTTAACCAGGTAATTAACCAGTACCGACGTTTCTGCTCATCTGTCAGGGGTTTTGTTGAAGATGGACAAAGTTGATTTCCGGAGATATGACGTTTAAAGCCAATGGTGTGCTTTTGGCTCATGCTACTGGTTAAATTTTTGTTCGGTAACAGTCATGCCCAATCGGTACAATGCTCGCATTCTTTGTCCCTGTTCGCATTTTCACAGGATTGGATAATTAAAGCCTCATGAATTGGTTTGTTCAGCCAGCATGTGACTTTTCTCAACCTGGATGCTTAGCTGCCGCATTTCGTTCACGTTTCGTTTTCGTCTCTTGCACTCAAGGAGACCAGATCCATAAAGAAATCATCCGTTCCCAGTCAGGTCAGTAAAAAATGCAACAGGCAGCGGGCAAAAGGCTTTGGGAATTGTGCAACAGGCAGCGGAGAAAAGTCGTTTCTTCTAGTGGTGAAATTTATACGGGCAACATTAAAGAAAGATACAAACTTTGACACATGAAGTTCTTGAAGAAGCAGTCATTTGAATTTAACGTCAAAAACTAACTGAATTTGAGAAGCGAATATCCAACTATGTGCCAAAATCTTAATACTAGTGTGAAACTACATTGATGAACACTGCAGTAGCTGAAAAGAGCTATTGAGTCAGTTCAGTTGTATTTACTGAATGCTTCAAAAATCAACTTTTGTCCAAGCATCCTTAAAGGACGGAGATTTGAAAATTCCGACTGTCGCATGGCTATCCTTCTTTCAGCAGATTCAGTCCAACAGCGCAGAATCGTGGAAGATCAGCAACAGCGCAAGAGGAATCATGCATTGACAGGTGTCTTTATTAAAGATAATCAATTTGGATATCAGAGTATACTTAATGTTTCCATCCACTAACTAGAAGAGGAAGAGTGTTAAAATCAATTGTTTTGAGGTGATTTCTGAGGTTTATTCTGTCCAAAAATCTGAAAACGCCAGCAACTTTGTGATACCAGTACAAGAAACATTTAATTACCCTTCGCTTTCATGCATGCACCATCAAAAGAGTAGTTAGAAAAGTTTAGATAAAGCGCGTCACCTCTGCCGAAACTGCAGTAGCTGATATAAATCTGATATCCACCAAACAGTTGAGATCCCCACTAATAATATCATCTAGAACGTTTAGAGTAAATTTCTAACTTGTGCGTTGGATATACTGAATCGTCTAAAGCACGAGTTTCCAACCCATGGGTCCCTAGCCCAAATGGGGTCGCGAAGGGTTTTCGTGGGGTATCTGGCTGAAACGGTAAACTAAAAATATTGATTTTAAGGCAATTTTCATTTTTGATCGGTTTTAAAGTTTGAATAAGATATTTTTAATATCGAATATAACCCATAGAAATATGCGTGGTATTATATTTTGTATTCCCATTGGATATATAGTCACGCATTACATCATCGCGCCGATTCCAAAGTGTTTGCCTACGCAGTTAGGGAAACAGGCAGCGAATACTACCGAATTTCAAGATAATCTGAGGGCACTTTTGTCCAAACTCCAGAACTGGCCAAGAAAAACTTAGGAAACATTGCCATGTTTGAGAAACTCTGCAGTGTGATGGACGAATATGAGGGTGAAATAAATGGTCATTTGAAGAAGAGATTACTGTACATCTTGAACACCTTGAAAACGAACTCCAGCTAACAGAAGAAAGTGCACTGCTACGAAATCGGTTCTCTGTTTCCGTTTAAGTAGCCAGCATTCCTCATGAAGTACAAGGTAAATTTATGGATTTGCGGAACGATTCCTCGGCACGCAACTTATTTCATGAAAAATTGCTGACTTAGTTCTGATATGCTATGTATCAGTGATATCTAAATGTCACCACGCTTGCGTTTTGAATTTTATTCCCCTTTGCTTCTACACATCTCTGTCAGAGTGGATTTTCAACGCATCTTCATTTAAAAATCATTATACCACCATTCCAACAGTGGCTAAAGTTTCATGCCGCTATGCTCGCTGTAAGGGCTTCTCGAGTCACCCACTAATAAACTCAGAACAGCTGCAACTGAATCCATGCACTGGCAGTCATAGCTACTTCTCGACGCACACGGGACTGTGCCTCCACATGAAGCAAGCTCATCCGACAGAATTTGAGAACTTACAGCTGATGCAAGCGAAATCTAGGTGGGGACAAAAGAAGTGACGAGACTAATTGGGTTAAAAGCGGGGTTCGGTCCTCACGAGGGGTTTATCAATGAAGCTACTTAACGCCTGTTATAAGGCAGGTTCGAAATAACACACAAGATCACAATAGTCAAAGATCAGATCAGCGCAGATAAGCACAGCAGCTGGTCGGAGCGAATGGATTAGAAGCAGGAACATCAAACTAGTCAAATATACGTGAAGCTCTACATAATTACAAAGACCAAAATATTACATATTTCTCGACCATCATCTGGACCAACAGAGTCACTATCACGGATAATGCGGAAAACCTCGCAAATGAAGATATTATCATCACAACAAACGGAAACAGCAGAGACGTCAACATTGTTAATATTCATGCGGCAATGAAACCCGAAGACAAAGACAAGAACATACAGAAGAGGCTCTTAGTGTAGGCTCTATAGGAATGACCCAATAGACTTTGGCAGTTGCAAATAACGAAAGTCGCTAATACAAATACCACAAGGTTTTATTCCACAAAGACCGAAAGACTGTGTTCCGCAATCCCGTCAACAAGAAATCTTTAACAAGGTCAATCGAACAATATTCTTGAGTCTGTTTTACAAAATGTCCCCCCCTAGATAGTCAAACAGTAACAAAGTAAAAATCCAGTAGAACCTGAAGTCGCCTCGATATAATGGACTCCGATTAACATCAAAGAAACCGGTCGCGCCGCCCTGAAAACATATCGCATGCGACCCAGGTCATACCCCCACCACAATTTACCAATCACCAGGGAACGCAGGGAGCCCCATCTGCGCCACCTCCAACTTCTGGATCGTTCACGGGTATGTTTCAGAACCCGTCACAATGTTGGACTGTTCTACTCCAGAAATTAAACAGCAACGTAATCGACGAAACGATTTTTCGCCCAGTTAATATATCGCTTCCGTGGTCTACTGTTTGTTCATGAAGATGCTCAGCAAAACTCTGGCACAACTACAAAATGCAACCACAAACAATACACCTTCCGCAGTAGCTCCAGTGAATTCTTCTTTATCAGCTTAACGCTGACCCAATGAGTCAAAGAATACAGCCCGCTTCTAACACAGCTGAACATAAAATAGAGATATGTCAAACCGTTCGATTCCATTTTCCACTATTCCGTTACAACAGCAGTACGGCGTCAAGCACATGGAATAGATCAAATTACGTACTACAAGGATGTGTGACAATGTTGCACTACGATGAATGGTTTTCAGTGAAAAACAAAATCTATGGCGGAGTCAAGCAAGGGCAACTCATCTCACCGCTACGGTTCAATCTAATCCTGGACGAGCTCATCGGTGACATTGCCAAATATAATGGATTCGTACTGGAAAATGGACAAGACGTAACTATCCTGACACTTGCTGACGACCTCCTCTTGGTCTCGGTATCAAAACTGTGGATGAAGAAGCAACGAGAGACTTCCTACGGCAACACAGTCTCGATAAATGCCCAGATGTTAAGAGCACTGCGACTCTATTGTCCGCAGAAAGAAAAACACCTGTCCAGAAACACCAGAAAACGAAACGAAGAAGGTCCGGCTCCTGGCTTCTGACAAACCTTTGCCCTACCTCGGTGTCGCCATCTCCAAAGCTGGCAAGCACAGCATTAACAATGGCTCAGTCGAAAGAGACCTGTAAAGGTCAAAAAAGTGCCACTGAAACCATATCAAGCGTGTGTTTTGATCCGTAGTTTATTGCTCCCCCTCCCGCTGTACACCAACTGCAACTAGCAAACCCAATGCGCTCAACGGCTAAACAGATCGACGAGCTGATCTTAAGAAGAACACGAAAGAAATACTGAAACAAACTACCACCGTAATCCCTATACACAGCATTCTTCCAAATTAAGCAGACATCAAGGACTGAATATCCGAAACCTCGAAGAAACTGCCATATGTCAAAGCCTACATAAAGCCTAGACCAACTAAAAATCAGCAATCAAGTTCCATCGACATTTCGCAAAAGGAAATAGCATTATTATGCCCAAGCATTGCGCGCTAACCAAACTAGGCCTACACAATGGCACGGCGGAAGAAGTCACGACAGCATACAAAAACATATCAAATGAGATGCTGCGGGGTTGAAGCCCAATCCTGCCAGCGAATAGGATGCCTGCTTTGCGTCTGTGGAAAATCGCCCATACTACATAAAACATAAGTAGAGTAGAGACCAAGGGAACGGCAACGACATCATCAGCAGCGTCAAACCTCAGTGCAACTTAAACTCCGTGGAAAGAGGACGAGCAGCAGGAAGCTTATAGGCACTGCGTAGACAACAACAAAGGTCCGGTAAAAGTCCTCAGCCATATTTGCCGTAAATGCCCAGTGACTCGGCTCTTGAGAGTTACAGAAAAGATCATATTCTGAACAAAACCGAAAGTCTCATAACAGTACAACAGACCATTGATAACGGAGCAAAATCTCAACAAGGAAGGAACAAGACTGACACCGGACGTAAATACGTTGGCAGACAACATCAGAGCAATCATGGACGTTGTCGTCCTATGGGAAAACGGGAACTCACTGAGCAGCACCTTTCACGAAAAAGTGCAATACTATACTTCTGCCATCTGCGCGATTCAATGAAGAGAATCTTTAATGGCAGAAATCTTTTTCGATAGTGAATTTGTCAACGGAGGAGGCGGTGGATCGGTCAGCCAGCAATAACAAATCATCCTGCGACAGCAGTTTCACATGAACATAGCTGTTGCAATTCGTGCAAGATCTGTTCATGCGCTAGAGCATGTAAATAAGGAATGAATCCTCAGTGACCAGATTTTGCGTCAACGTGTGATATGTGAGGAGTAGCATAGTTGGTCAAAATTACTAACCGTTGGAATGTCGATATTGCTTCACTTTCATGACTGGAAGCTCTGCGTTTCATGAAGCAGATGGTGCGCTGATGATCTCCGTTTCCATACCATCAGCCAGGAGTGCGTTTTTTTTAAAGCAGAATCTACGACCATGCGGCAAGTGCAGTGTGTAGCCTCCTCTTTCCTTTTCACATACTGGTACTCATTTAGCAGCCTCGGAAGGAAGAAGGAAGAATGACCCCGACTGAGGCTTGAGCTCAAGACCTATCAGTTCTAAGTTCGACACCCTACCGACTGAGCAACCCCAGTCAGAAGCAATGTGTGGTAAGTTCTTTGTTCAAGGGAATTCGTGAATAAGACACAGATTGTCCTCGAATAAATTCGAACCTCTCACCTCCGGTGTTCGAAGCAAACATATTAAACAACTGCAATATTTCCATGCAGCCGTTTTGGCCTATGCCGCCAGTAGGTGTCAGCGCTTGGTCTTCCTATTGAATCTGTATCACTGGACAGTGGTCAGCTGCATCGGTTGCGTCATTTAGTCCATTATGCCATATATTCATAGGTAGCTCTTTCAGTGAAATACGATGCCGTTGTAAAAATAGAGAATTGCTTTATATTACAGTTCCATTGATGATTATGCAATGTCCGCACTTCAGCACACAGGCTGCGGTCACAGGTAGGAACTCATGTCACCTCCAGCCATGATTAGACTTCTAACATTATTGCCTATCAATCTCTGCGATGCCGTTGTCAAACTGTGAATGCCCATGATTTTCACTCTATTTTACAATTTCAATCGTGATGACTGTGCGAGGTCGCTAATTAGGCGTGCTATCATTTGACCGCGAATCGGAGTGGATAGAATTGCAGGGGGACATCTGTAAAAATTACTTCATTTAATCCCTCATGTCATACATCGCTGAAAAGATGCTACTGAGCAGCATATGAAATTTTTGTGATAAGTATCAATTTCATAGTTGGCAAAGTTAGACGATTTCTCGGTGACAATTACGGCAAGGTTATTAAATCGGCATGCGCCAAAGTTACCATTAACAGTTGCGGCTTTAAACTGATGGAATTGTTTCCTTTGTGACTAATTTCATAAAGTTGCAAGTCAAACATGAGAGCATAATACGCATCTTTTGACTCCCTATTGAATTTTTAAGTTTTGTCTAATGATCACACTATGTTGATGACACGGGGTTATTACAAACCATCTCGCAATCACCTAGTTGCGAGTTGAGTGTATGTAATTGACTGATGGATAGAAGTATGAGATGCTTGATTTAACGATCATTCATCCATGATTAGGTTTTCAAACATGTGAATTTGGAAAATTTGATGTCATTTTATGATTTCACACAGCAACTGCATCAGGTCAAGAAGTCGGTGGACTGCCACTTGCAGACATCTATTTCAATTCCCTTTTTCGCCTTCTTTAATCACTGTGTTCGTCTAAGGGCAGTGCTCTATGAGCACACTGCAAAACTTCGGTCAAATAGTCAAATTCCAAAGAATCTTGATTCAATTATTCAATTTTGTTCAACATCGTGAAACCATACAGCCAGTGGGATGGGGCCATAGTGATTCAACCGCCGCTAATATTAAGTGTATGCCTCACAATTCACAGGCACGGAACACGCGATTCAAAGGGTGTATTGAGGATGCTGTTGTCGAAACCCGATCAGGAAAAATTTTCGTTGGGGGGGGGGGATGTGCTCTTGGTAGGACAGGAAGAGT